ACATTCTCAGAAGTTTACAATCTGATGTGCCACGCAGAACACTGAGGACCATTGGTTACACAGCAGGTCATACATCTGGACTCAGGCAGTTGGCTGTGTAAGCTCTTTCTGTCAATACTAGATGAAATTAAAAAGTGGAGCAGGAAGCAGGGTGAGGTGAAGGGATGGTGGTAGTGGCCTCAGTGGGTCTGCGGAGCCTAACCCTGAGCATAACCAGGGCTGTGTGGCCACTATGCAAGGGCCGATCTGCTCAAAGGGCAGCCCTACAGTTCCCCCAGGACTGTTCTAATTTCTACCATTGCTTCTCTCCTGGCCTACTGTTCCACCAGAGTCAGTAATGATCACCAAGCCCATGCATCTGGTACCTCCAGGCACATGCAAACCTGAAGAACAGACTCCACAAAGCCAACCAATGAAAATATCAAATTCATAGGGATGCCTGCCTTCCAGCATATCTTTTTAAAGCAGAAAGCAGTTAGCAATGAAGCCAGGATAGGACTTCTAGATGAAAATCAGAGAAAGGAAGCTGCTTCCTAGACCAAGGCCTGGGGAAGGCAGCTGTTTAGCCCTACACTCATGATGACAGTTACTTCTCCCAAACAAGACCACATGGTGACCCCAGGGCACATCTCTACCTTTGCTTACTGATGAAGCATCAGGATACTGCCTCAAGGAGGAGACACAGCCCTAGGAGAAGCTAGACATAGCCTCCAAGGATATTCACAATTCCAACCAAATGCTGACTGAAAACCAATTCAGTTATTTGCTCTAAGGATTTTACTCCTATTAACCACATATTTTGTAGAGCCCACCCTGGTAGTCCTGAGGACATATGGATAGCTAGGAAGTCAGCATCAATCAATACACACAAAGGCTCAGAGACAAATGCTGCCATAGCATGGTGAGTACCAGGCTGAACACTCACAGGCCCGGGACAGGGAAGAGGCTCTCTAAAGGAGAAAAGACTTACAGAGTTTTGAGAGTGCAAAGAACCTCAGGGACAATTAGCACAGTACACAAAGGCTAAGCTCAGAAAGGTGGATGGAGCCAGGCTTGATGTCATAAGCCTTTAATGTCAGTGCTTGGGAGGCAGAGCTAGGCAGATCTCTGAGTTCAACAATAGCATAGTGTACATAGTGAGTTCCAGACCATAGGGATACACAGAGACTCTGTCTCAATTTTTTTTAATTTAAAAAAGTAGTAATAGTAGAAGGAAGTAGAAGTCTGTAGAAGTGAGGAAAATTATTCTTCCCAGATGTTATAATCCTGACCACCTGTCACCACTTTCTAAGAGCCGATGCAAAGGTAGAAGCAACCACGCCCTGTGGTATTGAAGGCCTTCCTGTTCTTCTCTGGGGCTGAGTAGGTCTGAACATGACAACCTGAAGGAATGTGCTATCAAATTCTGACTCTCTCCATGTTTCATGAATTAAATAAGTATCTAAATATGCCATTAATAGATCTCACCATTTTCCAAGCAGTGTCTGGTCTTGGCTGGCCACAGCTGTCTGTATAGCACATCTCTTTTCAGTAAGTCTTTTAGTAGTCCTTAGAGACCAGGATCGTTACAGCCAGGCCATACTACATTTACCTCTCTGAACCCACAAGAGCTTCACATGTGACACTAAAAGGCAACAAAGAGCCAAAGATGTCAACTCAGACACTGCTACTTCTAGTGCAGAAGCCTTGCCGAGCACTTCTGCATCCTCTGCCCTACAGTTCTGTGCAACTTGCCTGGGCCCAAAGAGCTGGAAAATGCTAGGTATGGGTTTTCAGAAGGCCTAGCATGCTCTTTCCCACATTTGTGGCTTTGACAGTCTCTGGCATTGCAACCCAGTACCCAATCACTACCAGGAATATGACTCACCTACAATTTCCAGATAAAATCTTACCAGAGGGATCCCCCAACCTGTAGACCAAGATAGCCAGAAAGCTATGACTCTCAGGATGTTTGCTGTTTAAACCTCTCTGGGATCTAAATGAGATTTCCCTCCATCCTCACCTCTGTCATTTACTCCTTTTTCCCCAACATTTCCTCACTCAGCTAATCAACCCCAGCTGGGAATGGACATGGCCGAAGAAACAGGCCAAGGTATGGCCAGGGGAATGCACTGTTTATTTGGAATGGCCATGTCCTTCCTCCAAGGGAGTTCACGCGGTCAGATGTGTCTGTATCTATTAGTGGAATCTGACGAGGATGGCACTGTGCGCTGGAAGCAGGCCACAGTTTATGATGCCTTCGTGCTTGACAGACATGACAGGCACTGGCCAGTCATAGCCAGTGGAGGAGTGAGAGGTCAAGAAACTGAGAGTCGGGCTCTGAGGTACACTTCTGTGCACTTGTAGCCTATGAGCCCTCTGCAGAGAATGCCAAGATGTGCACAAAGATTCTGAGCACGTGACAGGCCTTGCCTGGGGATTGGTCCCCAAGTCTAGGTCCACCCCTGTGTTCAGAGTTGTCATAGTCAGCGTCTGTCTGTCTCTGTCTCTGTGTCTCTCTCTGTCTCTCTATAGCTATCTCTCTATATCTGTCTCTGTCTCTCTGTCTCTCTGTCTCTCTGTCTCTCTCCCTCTCTCTCCCTCTCTCTCCCTCTCTCTCCCTCTCTCTCTCTGCCTCTTCCTGTCCAGGGGTGTTGCTAGTACATAGTCTCTGACATGTAGGGGTATGTCATGTGTACCACAGGGATCTGTATCATTAAACATGAGGAGCCCCACACATCCCTTTTCAACAAGTCTACCTCATCCCAGCTTCTTCTGAGATGCCTAACTAGTTCCATTTGACACACCCTAATGTTTTCAGCAAAAGGATGCCCCTACTGCAGTTGTGCTTTCTCAACAGCCATCTTCCAATTTCAGCAGCCTTGGAAGTCATGAAATCCAAGAAGCTGCGGCATAACCACACCCTAACAGTTCTCCCTGATTCATTCCTTTCTCTTCTCACCTTACTTGAAGAAGAAGAGAAAAGGCTTCACCCTCCACACTGTGCTTGGCAATCTTAGTTGAATATCCAAATACATTGCTTACAAGTTCTGTTTTTCCTGACCAGTAAAATCATTGACATGTCATCTGGGGGTGCAGGTACACCACAGGAAGAGAAGAGTTAGATATGCAGGTACGAAACACCTGCCACATGCCCGAGGTTACAGGTTAGGATGTGGATAGGTAAGTTCTACCTTTATACGGGTAAAAAGGGTGGCCAAGGATCTCAGAGCATGACCTCACTCAAATGACTGTTGGCCTACCCAAGAGGAAGATATTGGTCTTACCTTCACTCCCAGCTCTTGGTCTCAGTGCTTTAGCTACTGACCCTGGTATCAAAAGCCTTCTCTACTCCCTTGAATGTCCCATGGACACCCCCAGATCAAAGCTCACAACTGAGAGCCCTCCTGTCACATCTTTTTCCTAGCTTTAGCTCCTCTCTCAAGCTGCCAACGTATCTTCCCAGGGATGAAGGAGATGGTCCAAGCTGGCCCTATAGGTCTGCCTTGATGATCATAGGAACTAGTCAGAAACTCAGCATCAATTTACCTTCTGTTCCAACTAAGAGCACACAGTCACAACTCTAGTTTTGTTTTTATTAAATACACTTTAGTTTATTTTCATAATTTTACGCTTTATTTTGTACAATCTGTGTGCTTTTAATCCCTGGCTTAAAATGGCTTTGACTTATGTGTTCTTCAGAGAAAGATCTACACTGGGAGAAGAGAAGGAGACTTTTATTCACAATTCTCCTCAGGAAAGGATACAGCCTTGCTGCCTCATTCTGACTGCACCATACAGGAGTCCTCAGATTTGTAAGAACTCAGGCTTTTCCCTGCCAGCTGGGTCTCCCTGCTTAGGGAATTCTTCCCTATGCCATCAAGCCTTCATGTGGGATACAACACTAATCATCCCTGGCCCTAGAACATGCACTTTCCCTGTGTCTAACACACTGTTCTAAACCAGAGCTGGCACAAGGCACAGGAATAGGATAGCCCTATCTTGCTCAGGGCAAGGGCTGCATTTTTGGCCTGCTTGTTCAGTAACATGCTCACTTCATGTGCCAGCATGGGTGAACCATGGTGCTTGGACATAGGCAGATTATCTGCAAGGCCTTTTGCTAGGCAAGCATTCCATTGATGAGCTAAAGTCAGGTTCCATCCCCCACTTTTTCTTTCAGAGAAAGGATCATACTAAGTTCTTTGGCTTTGGCTTCTTTAGTAGCTAGATTATAGGTGGGTGCCACTAGGCCCAATTGAGTAACCTTCTGAATAAGTCACTATCACGGCCATCAAGGCCATAGTATCTGGAAAAGGAGATGGACCATAAGCCTCCACTCTCAAAGGGCTTGCAGGGCACCTGCAGTTACTGAGAATGCAGAGTGATTTGTATTTCTAACAGAGTAAACAATTATACACCAAAAACTATGTGTGATTTAAGATTCTCTTAGTTAAGAAAAAGGTGCCCAGAGATCTAAAGCCAGGTTTTATGGCGTGTGTGTGTGTGTGTGTGTGTGTGTGTGTGTGTGTGTGTGTGTGTGTCACACCCCTCATATATAATCTCAGTGCTAGGGAGGCCATGGCAAGAGAATCCCAAATTTAAGGCTATAAATTTAAGGCTGGGGTACAAAGCATAGAGATAGTTCCATACACTTTTTGTCAACATCCAGAAAGCTTAGACTTTCACCCAGCACCCTAGGTTCTTGGCCATGTGCGTTCAAGCTCACTCTATCCCTGAAGACTTGGTTTATTTTAGGAATCTCTTATGTGGGCCACCACTAGCTCACACTATATAGTTACTACTGTGAGACTAGGGAAAATGGTAATTCTAGAATCCAAGAAGCCAGAGGGTTGAATAGCAGACGCTGCCACAGAGGGGCAAGCTCCCTTACCCCTTAGGTAAAAGAAAAGATTTGAGAAGGGTCCAGTAGACTCTGCTGCCCTGAAGACCAAGTGTCTGGCCTCTCTCCTACTGTTATGAGGGTTGGAGGTGGGACAAAAGAAAGTCAAGGCAGGACTGACCTTGAGGGCAGGGATCTCCACACTGTCCCCGAGGCTGATAGTGCCTGAGAGGATAGTCCCAGTCATCACGGTGCCCTGACCCTTGATGGAGAAGCAGTGGTCCACAGACATAAGGAATGGTCCAGAGGGGTCTCTTGTTGGGATGGAAATCTGAGACTTCAGGAGCTGGAAAAGAAATGCTGGTATAAACACCGACAAGTGCAGGGTTTACACCATTGGCATCCTCCAGGGCCACCTTGCAAAAATGGTACAGGTCAGAGGACCAATGCTGCAACTTAACTCAGGGAGAATAAAGACTCAATGAGGCCTCCACATTGCAGTTGAAGCAGCTGCTTCAGTACATCTGCCCTACCGTCCTCACATACAGTCTGTCCCTGAGTTACCAGCTCCAGGAGTCTTCATCTGGTTTCCAGATGCCATCCAGATGCCTTGCCTGCATGCCACACCTCAGTTCCAGGCACCCACAGCAGGTAGATCTCTGCAGAGCTTTCTTCTGTATGGCTGAGTCTCCTTACCTGTCATTACAATCCACTCCCTACTGTTAGCATCTGCCTGTCTATCCCCACTCCACAAGGCCACAGAGGACACAAGAGATCTCCAGTAGCTGGTACCATGCTTGAGGGAAAGGCATGTGAGTGAAGGACAAATGGAGGGAAAACTCAAGGTCAGATAGTAGAAGGCTGGCTTCCAGGGGCAACAGCTTATGCCTGAGGTCCAAGGTGAAGGGCTACACACATGGAGCTTTTGTGCCCTCTGCCAGGCAGACCCTAACAAATGGAAACCTAAGTCCACTGGGTCCTGAGGCTCTGGGGTCTGGGCTTCCACCTTTCCTTCATGGCTGACTTACCACATGCAATAGTACAACTGGCCAGTGCTCCTCAGACCATTTATGTGATTGAGATGCTTCCAGAACTAATCACTATTTCTTCAAAGAGCACAGAGGCTGCACTTCTCTTTGAGTTTCCTACTTTCTGATTTCAGGAGAGAATAGTAATAGTGTCTAAGTATTCAGGTCAGCAGTAAGTGTTCTCAAAGCCTTGCCTTATGATAACAATTCCTTTGGGAAAATAATGGAGAGATTCAAAACAGACTTGGTCTGAGATATTACACTATGTAGACCTGTTTCTTAGCCACATTTTTCTAGATTTTGCTTGAATTGTCCCAGGGTCTCAGAATTGTGTTCTCTAGAACTGACAAAATATCAAGAGCCTCTCCCAGAAAACATTTGTTAAGTGTGAAACACAGCAATGACTGGTACGTGACAGTCACATGTGAACTTAGCTCTGGAATCTGGGTGCAGATGACACCAACAAATTCTGACCATGGTCTGGGTCTAATTTACCACTGAGATAAGCAGGTAAATAAATGATCTATGTTCTTTCTTCTGTTCCCTGACATAAAGTAGGAAGCCCAGGCATTGTGTTACACACCCTCGCCCTCGAAGGTTCAGGCTAGATGATAGAAAGTTCCAGGCCAGCTTGAGCTACTTCATGAGATCCTACCCCAACATAAAGGAACAGCAATAACAGAGCTGCCCATATCAATTTATTTCATACAGTAGCGATGAGGTAGGGTGATAGTGGGGAGACTCAGCCCTGCAGAAGAGGCCTCTCAAGAGGAGGTAACTTGTCCAGGAGAAGTTGGCATTCTACACTTGCCTGTCACAAGTGCTAGATGGAGGGAAGGGGGGTACACAGCAGATGAGGCCTATGTGACATCTGGGAGCCCTTATTCCAGGCAAGGACAATTTATGCAATCAAACCCACAGATGAGGTGTCTCAGGAGGGATGTGCCACATACTGCCATGAAGTGACTGGGGTAGGTCATTACACTTCTCAAAATCTCACCTTCCCTTGGCCTTCCAACTTTGAAAGTATTGCAGATCCAGTATGAAAAGAACATAAGTATGGAGCCTGGTGAGCCAAATCATGTCACTGTTGTGGTAAACACATCACTCCTAGTAACTTAGCCTCATAGCATCTCTGTGGTGCTGCCATTACCTTCCCTGCACTGCAACTTTGTTTACTGCATGAAATGAGTTATTGAAGACAAGCAATTCTTCTGTTGTTTGACATAGGGTCTCACTAAGTGGGCTGGCCTCAAACTTCCCATCTCTCGGTCTCAGCCTCTAAGAATGTGTGCAGCCACACCCATGAATCTCTTGAGTCCAGTCAGAGAGCAGTAGGTGGGCCAAGGGAGCACACATTCCAGTTCGTGCACCCAGGTGAGTGACTGGGCTCAGTGAAGTAATTGCACTTCCTCCTCACTGTCTTCTACCTTAGTATCACTATCCATACTACCTTGAACACATCTCTGTCTGCTGGCTACCCTGGGATGTTGCTGCCACCTGCCAGGCAAGGGGAATGACAAGGACAGTGGTTAAACCAGTATTCACCAGGACCTCCAGGGTGATGCCTGGATGGAAGTCCCATTCAGTGGCAAGCTGGTGAGGAATGTCACTGTGCTCTGGGCTTCTGCTATGCTCTCAGCCCTCTCTGCTCAGTGAGAAGGAAATAGCACTAGGCTACCTGGATGACTGGGCTCCCTGTTTCTGCCACTGCCACTGAGCCTGGAGGAACAGCCTGAGCCTTAAGCTACAAAATAAAATGTCTGTTCCTTCACTGGAGGCTGCCAGGATGGAGGCTATGCTACTCCAGCTGCCAGGCTTTAGTTGGAGGCCAACTGGAGAAACCTGTGCAATCTGAAGGACAGGAACAGGGCCTGTGATCAGATATACTGTACAAGACTGAGTCTCTGCTGAGGGTGAGAGGAGGGGGTGGGGGAAATGGCAGGCTTGAGGGACAGGTAACAGACAAAGGCACTGCTTTGTCAGAATGGAAGTGTGAAAGAGAGGGGGCAGAGAAGGAAACACAGTGGGTGGGAAGAACTCTGCAGAGTCCAGTGTCCAGGGCTTATATGGACCTTTGCTTTGGAGTTTCTAAGGGAGGTGAAGAGTCTGATATCAGACTGAGAAAGAGGCCCTTGGAAATCTCTTGCTAGGATTGCCTCTCCCTCCTTCTTAGGCAGAGGAGAACATGGAGGGCTACTTGAGCAGGGCTGGGGCAGAGGGCAGCCTGGGTTCAAGGTGACAGTACCTCAATGAGTTCTGAGATGCCCTGTGGAGCTTCCGTTTCAGGGGCTTCTGGTCCCCCAGGCTTGGCTGCCACGGGAATAATCGGTGCACCCCGGAATCTGAAATGGAACAACAATCATCATGACAGTCGCAGAGGCTGTCAGCACAACCTGATGCAGACCTGCTGAGCTGCTGGCACATCACTGAGCATGCCACATGCCTCTTCTCCAGCCTTCAGGTGAGCATGGGAAGGGAGCATCATTGCTCTAAATTTCCAGGTGAAATAGAGGCCCTACAAAGAAAGGACATCAGAATCTAAGAGGTTCACCTAGAAGTTCAACTCCTCCTGAGCCTCCCCAGGAAGCAGCAAGGATCTAGGCAGGTCTTAGACTACAAGATCCACATAATCTAGTTCTCTGAAATGTAGGACTACTGGGACCCCAAAGTCCCTAAAGCTGTATCTGGAAAGCCCTGCTCCTTGAGGAGAATCCCTTACTTAAGCCACCTCCATTAAAACAAAACTAGTAGTAACACTGTTAAGAAAGGAGGAAAAAGAAGCAGTTCATATAAAAGAAACAGTTCATAATCCTCCCCCACCTCTGCACCCCCAGCCCCTGTGCTGTATGTATTCTCTTTTGAACATAGCTTTTTTATGCTTTGTACCAAGGAATTCCCCTGGTTTAGTTACATTGTACTGTTGTAATGAACACCATGGCAACTTAGAGAAGGACGAGTTTAATTGGGGATTTACAGTTTCAGAGGGTTAGAGTCCATGATCACAGAGCAAAGGCACGGCAGCTGAAACATCTGAGAACTCACATCTTGATCCACAAGTAGCAAGCAGAGAGAGAAAGAGACTGGGAAGGATATGAATATTTTAAACCTCAAAGCTTGTTCCCAGTGACATACCTTCTCCAGCAAGGCCACACTTTCTAATCCTTCCAAAATAGTTCCACCTATCGGGAAACAAGTGTTTAAACAAAAGAGCCTATGAGGGCCATTTTCATTCAAATCCCCACACATCCCATTTCCATGTTTTCAATATCTTACATAAAATATTTCATATGCTGCTGTGTGGATGCTATCTCATACCCTGCTATTTTATTCACCATCATATCATAAAGAATTTTATATAGATTATATAATGGCAATATCAAGAACAATGATAGCTTAAGCTTAAGCCAACTCATCACCATGGCTCTGTCATGCTGTAGATGAGGAAATGAAATTAGACAGGCGGATTAAAAGACACTAGCTTGAACGCCTTTAATCCCAGCACTTGGGAGGCAGAGGCAGGCGGATTTCTGAGTTTGAGGCCAGCCTGGTCTACAGAGTGAGTTCCAGGACAGCTAGGGCTACACAGAGAAACCCTGTCTCGAAATACAAAAAAAAACAAAAACAAAAAACAAAAAAAATAATAAAAGACACTAGCTATAACCTTCAGAGCTGACTTCAAACGCAGATCTTCTAAGTGTGGAACTTAGCTTTCTACCCTTCCTCACAGGTGCCCTCCTGATCTCCTCTTTATCACTGTTGGCAGCACAGTGGTATAAAATCCACAATTTACACGTGGACCTTGGAAGTTCCTCATTCATGAGCATTCACTACAAGTATACTAGCAAAACACAGACTTGTCTTGGCTTTAGGGGAATCCATCAGCTATGAACCTCAGACTGAACACACCTGGAAAGATCAACAGCCATGGTGAACAAGTACATGTAAAAGCTTTTTCATGGAAGCAACAAGAGCATGAACAGAAATGACCCAACTTTTTCAGAACTCTAGAGTTAACCAAAGGCTTAAACAAAAAAAAAGTGTAAACGCCTGGGAATCTGAGAACAAGTTACAAATAGATATATTTTTAACCTGCTTTGTTCCATCTCCCCACCAACTCTGTAGTGGCCTTGACAATCACAACCATGCTAGTGTCTGCTGGACCCTAGAGGGAGAGAATGGGTTTGAGTTTTATCAAAGTACTTGACCCCAAGAAATACAACAATTTTCCTATTTGGTAGTTCCCTAGAAGACCCCATCAGAAAGGCTATGTGTATCTAGCCTGTTTGGGGACTTTTCAATAGGAGTAGAAAGAGTACCAGAAACCTCTGAAGTCAAGGAGGCAGAGATGGGCTGTTTGACACCCCAATAGTAGACTGAAGGGACCCTGACCTCAGCATCAATTTCATGGGCTGCCACCATTCTGACAATCAAGTGTCCACTTCCCAGAGACTGTCTTGGCAACAAAGGTTCAGAACATGCGGAATCCATGCACAAATAGATCCTAACATAGTGGGATGCATCTGACAGATAGCAGTGGTAGAATGGATGGCTTGAGACTGAGACTGGGACTTCACGGCAGTCTAAAAGAAGGCTCTGCATGCAGCTGAAAGCAAGCTCAAGGCATCAGGTACAAATGTGGAAGGCCAAAGGAGGATTCCCCCCCCCCCCACTCTCACTCCCCTTGCAACATGGGGGGAGAAGAGAGAGAGAGAGAAATCGACCTAATCAAAAACATGCTCAAAGTTTGGGAGGCTTTCTCTTCCCCTCCCAGGTCTGACAGCCACCTCCTGGCTGATCCCAGTTTTCACCATCTTTGCATGTACACTAATTCAGCTCAGTCAATCAAGTTCCAGCTAGCATTATACACATATCTGAGCCAATAAGTTCTGGAGAAAGAAACTTGTCAGATTATTAGATGAAGAAGAGAATGATGACTTCATTCACACTGGTTCTGGCTAGTAGGCCAGCTCCCAGGTGCTGTGTTCTTTGGAGAAGGAAGACTTCCTTGAACACTTGTCAGAGACAGACACTGCTGAAACTCACTACATGAGGGCTTCTGTCTCAGGCAAGAAGACTCATTCCTGACTCAGCCTGCAACCATGCTCCAGCTATAAACATTTGTTTCTGCAACTGTCTCCAGCCTCCAAGACCTGCTCCAGAAACCTGTGACTCTAGCCTTCCACACATGCCAGAGACAGGAGACATAGCCCTCCTGTTGCTGCTGACAGTGGTCTGCTTTCTGCAGACCTACTCTCAAGGAACATCTCTCAATTGGCATCTGAAGCTTTCAGAGGGTTCAGGTATTGTACCACTATCAATTTCTCTGGGCTGCACCCCAAAGCCTGCTGAGTACATGGAGTTATAAGAGTATCAGCCTTTTGGTTGGCATCCTGTTGCTGCTGAGAGTCCCTGGAGTTTCTGCTTCTTATTTGAATTTTTCCTTTCTCGTTTAAAGTGTTTCTCCTGCGTGGAAAATGAAGTTTCTCCTAACTTCCCTTTGCTATCTTCCCACTAAGTTCTTACAATGATGGTAGACAGAAACCAAGAACAGGACAATGACCAGTTCATTTTCTTAGTGCAAAAGCCCTTTCCATGAGGGTATCTGTTGAAAATAAAGGGAAGTAGTCAACAGGACAATGAGGTGAAATGTAACTGTTTAAGCAAACAATGACAGGATTAAAACGCTTAGCAGGAAAAGTCAAAGAATCAGATGCTCATAGCTGGCTTAGAAAAGCTCTCACATATCCTGAGAAATAGGTCTCCACAGGCACAGGACTTACATGTTCAAGAGAGACCTAGAAGAACCTGGGCCCTCACCTCTGAGTTCGAGATTCTATATAAACAGTAAAAGATAAGGCACAGTTGTTAGCTGCTGCTGGAACTCTTGACAGCTTGGTCCCACATGCATATAGAAACCCTCAGCAAGGAGCATTTGACATTCAGGCATCTAGGGAAGCCTCTGTCCTGTCACTGAAGTCACTGAATGGAGACCTCAGGGTCCCCATGACAAAGAATACAGACTTTCCACAATCTGCTCAGAAAAGTCATCAAACTATAAGAAAATATAGTGAAAGTCTATGCGACTTCCAATACTACTTCATTATGTTATTATAAATGTCTAGGATTCACCAAAAATTTATTATACAGCCAGACACAGAGACCATGGTACAAGCCTTTAATCTCAGCACTCAGGAGGCAGAGACAGGCAGATCTCTGTGAGTTCAAGGCCAATTTAGTACAGAGTGATTTCTAGAACATTCAGGGCTGCACATAGAAACTATTTCAAAAAAACAAAACAAATTTACTATACAGACACATAGTTCAGAGTTTGTTTGATTGTGTGTGTGTGTGTGTGTGTGTTTGCTATGATATAATAATAATACCCAGGCCAAACAACTTAATAGAGAAAAGACTTATTCTTGTTTGCTGTTTCAGAGTCTATTACAAAAGGGAGGGGCATGGTGGAGCAGAACCACTCACCTCATGACTGCTAGGAGCACAGAGAGAATGCCCCATGCTTTCTTCTCCTTTTATTCCATTTGGCCTCTCACCTACAGTATGGGTGCCAACATTCAGAGGGATCTTACCTCTTAGTTCATCCTCTCTGGAAACACCACCACAGACATACCCAGAAATGTGTTATGTTAACCTTCTAAGCACTTATCAATCCATCAAGCTGACAACCAACATTACCCATCACAATTCCAAAGAAACAAGAGAAGAGTACAAATATAAGAAAGAATTAATAGACACTGTGCCTAGGAGGCTCTCCCAGACTTGATAGCAGTCTTTCCCAGTGTGTTCAAATAAACAAACCAAGTCTAAACAACTACAAAGTACGATGAAGATCCTTCACACAATGAGAACGTGCAAGAGTTGGTGCAGATCTCTTTGAGGCCAGTCTAGACTATGAAGAGAGCTTCAGAATGGCCAGGGTTACATAGTGACCGTCTCCGCACACGCACGCACGCACACACACACACACACACACACACACACACTGATATACTGTGACAATTTCCGACAAACTGAAACACTTATTCTTCTGTGAAGCTCATTAAGATTCAGGAAGTTCTAAAGGTAGATGGATTCCTTAAGATTTAGGAAGGAAACGATGGGAAGAATCAGGAAGTCTCGAAACTCCGATTCACAGGGCCCTTCCTTCCCCTAGGTTAAGTAAGCTTTATGCTTGCTGAGGACAGAGACCCAAAGCTGTGGGGCTGCCCACAAGTCACAGAGAGCCCCTGGCTCCCAGCTGTCAGCAGGTCACTCACGGGGTGTGGGAGTTCAGTGATATAGCCTCCTTAAAGTTGCCCATGCTCTTGGGGTTATGTAGCCCTAA